ACACACACACACACACACACACACACACACACACACACACACACACGCTTGTTTTATAAAAGATAACATTTCCGACAAACTCAAGTTTAAAATATGGCAATTTGTAAATAGTTGACACGTTTAAAACACATCTAGAAGGATTAAAGAGCACCACATTCAACAGTAGGTTTACATCCACCTTGCACGTCTCTAGATTAGTGATAATCGCTACAACAAGAAGACCTTTCAAAGAGTTCCAACGTGTTTTATTTGTTTATCTGTCGCTGGCCTCTGAGCGACACGGGTCGGGTCTGAAGATAGAGTTGACGATACGATACGGTTTCGGGGCCGATGGAATTGTATCGAGTAGCAGACGAAAAATGGCAGAAATGTTACGAGCCATCGGTGATGACGTCTGAGACGCTTTGGCATGAACACGCCCCCACTGGCCAGAGCAAATAACCACGGAAACATGTACGAAAATAATTTGGAAACATTTGCAAAGTTAATTTAAGCAATGATGGCAATAAGTAGATAGCTTTCGCTGCCGTCGTGCAAACAGGTATAGCAGACTTTACCGCATAAACACACTAAAGTATAGCGTGCATATACGATGGATGCACTTTCTGCAAGTATAATCAATGCCACGAACACACTAAATTACCTTATTTGTCATACTGCAGTGTTACTACAGTCACAATGCACTTCTGTTGTCTTGCTTTGTTTAGAACAGCTGATCGTGAGACTTTTTTCAACTGAAAGTGTTTTTTGTGGCAGTTTGGGAAATGAGAGCTAGAAGACAGGGGCCCCTTGGACATGTCTCTACACGCCTGCGTTTCTTTGGCAGACCTTCTCATGATATCCCAAAAGGCCTCCGCCAGTCAGTAGTCAGTTAGTCAACCACAAGTTGAGGCAGTCGATGCAGCTGCCACTGGTGCTGCTGTGGTGTGTGTGTGTGTGTGGGGGGGGTTACAATCTCCCGGGCTGAAAAGGTATGTCTGAACCGAACAGACTGCAGACTGTGGGCAGGACAGGCGTGGGTCACCACCGACACACTAAACATAGCACTCGCTCTGGATAAATTTAGAGGGTCTACTCAAGTAACCAGCATTTTCAGGTTACACCATTTCTTCCCGTCTGAAAAAGGTCGAGCTGAGGCACGCCACTAAGAACTAATAACCCGGGAAACGTAAACCACACCACACCATTGAGCAAGAAGTGCACTACAATACAAAGCGTATTACATATGATATAAAAGTGGGTTCGTCTGTTGACGAATGTATGAAAAAGGGTGCAGCTGATGTAAATCAGACTTTCAGAGAATTTTCATGAACACATTTCCAACTGAGGCTCCAACATGCTTTAACAGGTTTACGCTATAAGACAAAGTCTGATACAAGCTGTGAGCTGACGCATGTACAATAAAAAAGAGCAGGCAATGTCTCCTCCTGCAGGGCGGAAGATGCAGTGCATAAGCTAAGCAGCAGCCAATGAGGAGACTGTTGCTACAGCCTGACAATTAACCCTTTAAAGAGCAGAGCGTCGATGAACACCTGCACACGTAACCAGTTTCCTGATGTGCGATTAACTGTCAATTAGATTTATGACAGGCTACATAACACGTGGACTAAGCAATGACTACCTGCAGAGAGGACACATGCAATGCCTGGAATAGTGTCTGTAAGGCTGGATGTATTAGTACATACAGAGACCTGTACCACATTCAGAATGAAGACATGTAGAGGTATTTGTCTAGCTTTTGCCACAATGCAGATTGATTTTAATGAAAATGTTGTCACCTTGTCAAGTCTGACATCCCTTAAATGTGTAGGGTCAGATCTCTTCCAAGAGAGCCACTCAAACCGCCCACAATGATCTAGAGTAACTTTATATTATAGTTTTAATTGTTTATGTGGTGCAATGATTTACCACATTTAACAAAAAGTCAATGTCACATCAAACATGGTTTTATTTACAAGTAGAGGGTCCAATATTTCTGTTGAGAGAGGTTTATCATCCCAAATAAACATATCAGTGAATCTGATGTGAGGGGTTCAAGATGTGAACAATACCTGTAAAATAATCTCTGTAGTCTGCTGAATGAAGGCAGAATCTGGGTTTATATGCGAGCATTTTCCAACTTGTTGATGGTGCACTTCTAGTGGCGCGTGGCAGAAGTGAGACGGCTGCTGTAGCTGCCCTTCTCCTTGGCAGAGCAGTCTATACATATTGAGATATACGAGAAGGTAAATGCTTCTGCTTTTAAATAGTTCTCACCTGCATGATGACCCCAACTAGGAAAATAAGTTCCCCCGGTCTAACATAACGGAGGCTGTCTATCTTATTCAGGGAGTTATGCAACAGCACACCTACGCAGCTCGAGGCTTACACACAGCCCTCCCCGTCAAATACGTGACATATTTAAAATACCTTTTTCTGGTCCCCTCGACTCTGTGCTGCTCTCTTATCGCACCTCTTGTCTTATTGCACCACTTCTTCAAGTCTAACAGCCTCTCTCTCCCTCTCTCTGTCTGTCTCTCTCTTAATCCTGCTAGCAGACATGCTCCGACTCTAGTAAAGAAGATTTAGTCTCTGCACACCATCAAGTAATGAAACGCGCTTTCATGCACACGAGTCAAGGATTCATCCAATGGCGCAGTTAGGAGAGAATTACAATGTTGACGTTATTGAGCCCTGAGATGACATCACTTATCTTTTTCTCCATCACGTCACATTGTTTAAATGTGTACAGCAGTTGAGGAGGTGTCATTGTTTTAGTTTTTTGGGAGATTTTCCGGTAGAGCAAAGAATCGATTAGCCGATCAACAGAACATGAATATGCAACTATTGTTAGTCAATTTCAAGTGTAAATGGAAAGTATTCCTTTGATCCAGCTTGTCAAAGGTGAAGATTTGCCTTTTTTTAATAGTTTCATGAGATAGTTAACTAAATATCTTTGAGCTTTGGACTGCTGAGCCGACAAAACAAGAAATTTAAAAGATAACCTTTTCCACACGCTTTTGAAGAGAAGGACGAGTGTGTGTTGTGCATCAGCTCTGGGAAGTTGCCAACGCTAAGCGACAACCACAGAAACTCATGTTCTAAAAGTTAGACAAGGGATTACAAGAACATGACAGACATTTTATGACCAAATCCTCTGCGAGACACAATCCGATGTCAAAAATATGTTTAGATCCTGCTCCAGTCTGACGGATTTGCCGCTGCCGCTCTCCTCACCCCCGGCTAATGCTGGCAGCGTAACGAGCTAACGCTAAACAACGAGAATGTTCGACAAACCGTTATAATATACGAATAAATGAACCTAAATTAGCTTCATGCCAGCAGCATGTACGCCGAACACTGACTGTGTAAAACAGCAACCGCTGGGGTCCTATTCAGTGTGCAAACCTTTTATTGTGCACATGCATTGTGCACTAAGTTACTGCAATCAGCATTTAGCACAATACTGATTCACCACAAAGCTACAGATCAGTCTACCCTGCAGTCTGTGCGCAGCCTGCCACCAAAGAAGCGCCAACACATTCCTGCCTTCAGCCTCGCAGAGAAAACATCGGCGCCAATAAAAGAAAACCATAAACAGTGTTCATGCTTCCACTGACTTGGATGGATCAAGAGATACGCGACTGTCCTTCCTGAAAAATAAAACTTTTATGTGTCGTAGAAAGTAGGCGTGTCGCGGTTCTCCAAATCCACGATTGCAACGTTTTTTCCCGCGGCCATTTTTAGACCGACATAGCCACACGGTCAAAATTTGATAATCAATTTCATATGTAATAACTTATTTCACCAGTTAATTGGGAACAAACTGTTACACAGTAAAGAGACGGTCCACTAGATAGCAGGAGGGTACTGTATAACTGATTTCTCAGAGTTTACGAGGTACCTGAATGCACCATTAAAAGCCTTAAAATGGTCTGAAATCACAGTTTGCTGAGGGCGGTTTGGTTTGCGGGTGGGATTCAAAATCTGAAGCTCAGTTTGATGGATTCTTTTATTTAGAATCTAAATCGTGACACCTCTGGTAGTAGGTGTGTACGTGTATGTAAAAGCCAGAAGAGAGAAGTTGACTCTGAGCAGAGAACATGGACAGCGCTGTCAGAGAGAGGCCCAGAGAAGGAACACTATCTAAATCTGTAGACATGCAGCTTCTCCCAGCAACTGGCTGCTCGCTTCCTTCCAGTCGCCCTGTTCAAAATGCCCAACGACAACTTCAACCCAAATGTCGATCTATTGCACAAATATATGATCAACATTTTGTCAGTTTGATGATAATAGAATGTGCTTCTGAAATGTACTCCAGTTATATCCATCATAGAGCTTTAAAATGTGTTTTTTGTTAGTAATATACTATTATGATACATGAAGACCTGATAAGCCTCAGACGAAGATGAAGTCTGATGGCATCAAATACTTTCCTTAACAAGACCGAGCATGTGCGGCTGAACCTTGTGAGAGCACGTAGAGCGACGATTCACACCTTCATCTCCAACATGTGGAAGAATGTTGGAGATGAAGACTGGCTGTTAGATAACTATAGACAGAACATTTAACCACGTTAGAGACGTCTAAATATCCGACATGGTCACTGAGCTTCACCATCACGATTGAGAAAAGTATCACCTTCCATCTTTGTTACTTTGATAAAACAAAAGTCTGCTTTAACATAAATAATTCTGGATTTCTGTCTGCAATCAAAAAAGAATAACGGGGCTTTTAGAGCGGCTTCGTTCTACGGGTTTGAATCTCAGAGTTTCTTTCTCTTGGCGGGCCCCAACACATGTATATCTTCTCAACGGAGGGGCCCAGAAAAGGAGCAACATTTTAATGTTTAAAAAAAGAGAGGCGAGAGAAGGCTGAGAGCTGGAATAGTTTCCCAGCCCGGTCCACTTCTCTCTCTCCCTCTCTCTCTCTCTCCCTCTCTCTCTCTCCACATCTGCTGCACTCATGTAAACCCCTGTGGCTCAGAGAGGAGAGGCCCCTCCATTCTCCACCTCTTTTCCCCCCCACCACAGTTGACTGTAGGAGCTATCAAAACATTTTAAAAAGAGGAGGAGGGGAGGTGGAAGAAGAAAAAAAAAGGAGGAGTAGGAGGAAGGGAGTGAGTGAGATCCCTTGGTAGTGGGCAATAAATCACAGACACTCTGGGAGCAACGAGAGCCCTGCCTCCATCCCAGGGCCCCTCTTCAAAGCCCCCTTGAGCCTGCAGAGCCCGAGTCCCTCCCAGTGCCTCCCCCGCTGTACCCAACGCTGCATCGGCCCGTCTACCAAGCCCCCAGCTCTGCTCCAGTCCTGATCCGTTTGCACACTATCCCTTGCACGGACCCTTTAGCAAGCACGGGGTCGGTCGGTCGGTCTCACTCACACACACACACACACACACACACCACCCCCCCTCCCCCCGGGGGCCTCTTCTCTCCCCCCTCTCCGTCTCTGTCTCCCACAGCCCGGGACACAGAGACTTTTCTTCTCTCGGTGCTACATTCACACTCGCTCCAGGCTCAGCGCTGCCACTCAACCACAACACAGCCATTCAACACATGCCCCCTTCATACAGCTCCTCGCTCGCCCTGCAAAACCACGGCAAAGAATTTCACAATCGCACCACAAAGGGCAGAAACTAGAAACCTGGCAGCTACAGCTGCTCTTTAGGTGAGCAGAAAAGCCTTAAGCGCACATCGGTGCACGCCACAGCGTCTTTAAAAAGATGCGAGTTTTAATTGCAGTTCGTAGTTGCGGCTCGAGCAGTTAAATTGATTCAGGAAAAAAAAGGGGGAATTTTCATACGCAGCCATCTTGAAATTTGCAGAACTTGAACCAACCGTGCTAAATAACAGACTACAAACTACACACTGTAACTACAGCACGGCACTGCTTTTATTGTTTCTAGATGCCACGTAAACACTTTCAGCAAATGATCTGACTCGCAAAGGAACGGTCTGACTTATGACTTGTTTGCCTTCTCACACAAAGGAAACAAAAGATTGATTTCATGGTTTGCGTTTGTTGAATTGTGAACAAAAATTGGGTTGAACTGCTCGCCTGCATGTGTCAGAACTCTGTAGCCGAGGCTCTGTAGCTTTAGGAGCAGACTGTCACTAATTTAGTCGCAACATTATCATGAAAATTAAACCACAAAAAAAGAGCCTGAGGGTTTAGACGACCAGCGAAGAAACTGAAACGTGTAAACAAGACATGTTTGAGGATGTGGGGTCGTAGTTTATTTCAGTTTTGAAGGCGCTATCTTAACTGTTCCCCGACGGCTCTCAGAGCACTCTGCCTTAATCACCAGTATGTAGTGATCTAATCATCTTTCTCAACACTGGTGAAGGAAACGCATTCCCTGAAGATGTGCCTTTGTGGAGAACCACAGATGATACCCACTGGTAGCATACGGCTGGCCCCGATATGCTCTGGTGTACTATAGCCTGGACAAACGCCAGCATTGTCCTCTGGGGACCGAGTTGGTTCACATCCAGTGCAGCTGGACAGCTCAGGGCAGAGACACTTGTTGTCAGAGACTGCAACTGTTCTGCAAAATCAGCATTTTTCTCACACCGAATCCAAATGTGTGAGTTGTTTGTGTTTTTCATTCAACAACCTTTGCAAGAAGAAAAGTTATTTATTCTGCAAGAAATCTGAATTAATGCTTCCTTTGCATCATTTTAAAAGCCAAACTATTCATCAAGAAAATAATTGTCAGGTTATTCTATATTTTCTGGTCACAGGCCTACTTGTTACAGAGTTCTGTTGAGTGGTGTGAAACTCACCTTGCTCCGAGTCCGAGTCGTTCTCCCCCCTGGAGCCACCTGGAGCTACAGGTAAGGGTCTGAGGGGCCTTGGCTTGGGCGTGGGGGGGGACATCCTCTTCTTTCCAATGAACTCAACGTACGTCCCGGGGAAGTCGCCTTTCTCCTGAGTGGTTTCATTGAAGCCTGGTAGCCAGCCGATCTCATCTGGCCTCTGTTCCAGCCCATCGGTGTACCCGAGAGCCACCAGCGCTCCTTTACTCACCAACAGTATATCCCCCACATGCAGGTTAATGTCCTCCTCCCTCTCCTTCTTGTAGTCATACAGCGCTCTGTACTGATATCCTTCAGCACTCATATTGATCACCTTTGTGCTTTTCAGAAGATTCAATAAGCAAAGTAACTTTTCAGGGTTCTCCGACTATGTTTTGAGTCCATTTGCTAGTTCAAATGCACTTGTATACTTCCAAGAAAACCTCCTGCAGCTCTGAGAGAGACCACACTATCTAGCTCGTCTTCATTCTTTCACAGTTCCTGTCTCTTGTGAATGATTTGCGGTTCTCTCGGTGCGTTGCCTCAGTGTGTACCCATCAGAAGATGGCCTGCAGCTCGCAGTCTTGAGAATGCTATCCAGACCTGTAAGATGAGAGCAGAGGCCATCAGAAACACATTGCATGAGACAATTACAGCTTAACGCACACTCAGTGCTGGGATGCACACCAACATGTACCCAGAATTAAGACGGCGATTGTTCTGCAGAAGAGCCGATGTGGATGTTATACTGTACGGGCAGAATTTATATTTAGAATAAGAATACTCAGCCTACTTAATACTTGGCATGACTGTTATTTACTGCATATATATATATACACTTTTAAGTTTACCAATGCATACTATGCCACATTCTTTAGAGAAGGATGCATTTGCAATGTGTTTAATGAAATGTACCATTAACCCTTTCATTCATTAATTATTAGTTTATGGTCCCATTGCACTACTATGGTGAAAATGTTAACCAGTGTACAAAACGACTATTGATGCAAACTCAATTAGTGATCAGCTGTTTTCTTAACGGCACATTTAAGAGTGTGTGGCACACAGTGCTAACTTTAGCATTAACAGCCGCAGCTCTCATTGACTAACAGTTACGGTAATTGTTATACAACTACATGGAAACCTCTTCGGGAAGTTTTGCAAAACGAGTTGCAAGAGACTTTGCGGATTTATAAAGTTATTTTATGCACGTTTGAATCGAGTCCAACGCAGTGACGCCACTGAACCAATGTGGAGGACGCAGGGAGGAGAACATGGCTGATAACTCACCGCAGGAGGAGAGAAAAAGAAACGAAAAGCTGGAAGTTAACTTAAGTTTAAACGACCTTCAAGGGAAAAAGAAATGCAGAGACCTAACACGAAGTGCAGAGTCTTACATTAGCACGTTTAACATTCACATTTGCGAGCTTAGTCAGCGAGATTAGAGTAAGTAAGCCTGACGTTACATACCGAGTGTGCATGGATCCACAGGGCGAATCCAACGAGTCCTCTTTAACGCTTCCACTTCGTTAAACTTCAGAGTTTTGCGGGTACTTTCAAATAAAACAAAACCCTAAACATGCCCTCTACAGGACCGGTGAAAGAAAAAAACATCCACTTGCGTTTAAAACTTGGGTTTAACGTGCAGAACGAACTGTTTTAACCCACTCAGCCTGTCGACATAACGGCACGGTTTCCTCGTCCTGAGAAAAAAAAAAAATGCTCCTCTACTCTGAACGTCGCCTCTGCGGCCCACAAGGGGGCGAGGCAAAAGCGAGGACGCTCATTGGCCCCGTGGCGCTGTCAATCATTGACGTCACTCGAGCAGACCAATCAGACTCTCACTAGTGGCGTTCACTCCCCACGTCCGTGTACTCTTGCACGCAACATGAAACACCGAACAAAATTACATAACTCCGCACGCAACGTAAACCGAACTCCTTTTGGTTTATGTTATCCGCTCAGGGAGGGTTATTTTCACAATGTAAAGATATCACTTTACACTATAGGCAACCCTAGACAAGCCCTGCAGAGGATATCTGAGGAACAAACACCAGTATAGAATAGCTCCATGTCTTTGTTTTCTACTTCAACACTTAAAACAATACGTGGTGTGTTAAGTTATGTGAGAAATAACTTGATATCCATAACAGAACACAGCAGGAAGTGAAACATAAAAAGGAGTTTTCTGTAACAGCCAGGAAAGCACAAAACCATGTTTCAGGTTATTTATTCAGCACATAGTTTTCAGTTTTCTGGTTGCTTTTTATAAATCATTACATGCTCTCAGTGTGGAAGGTCCCAAAATCTCACAGAGTCACCATCTGAGGCGCGTGACTGTGAATGTGGGTGGCCTAATTATGGTCGTGAAAAGAGGCCTGGCTGCTGGCAGAAATCCCCTATCAAGTATAAACCCTTCTACCGTCTCGGCTGTGCTAAAAGAGGCTGTAAGCAGCTTTGTACAAGGGTAGGCCGGTCTGAGTGTTCAGCAGTTAGATAGACATCAGTGGCCAACGCCATCCAGAAAAGAGGAAGCAGTGTAGAAAACAGGACAATATGTGGTGTGAAATCAACAGCAACCAGGAACTTCCATGTGCTGTGGGGAAACTTACATTTAATGTCCTTTTGACGTCTTTCTTTGATTCACCATTTGCCTTTTTTCCCCCAAAAAAACTCCACAAGACAAGCTTAATATTACTACAGTAGATCATTTTAATTGATATTTGAACCACCAGGCCATATAATCCCCCCCACCCTCCTGAATTAAACAGCCAGGCTCTGGTGACCCATCTTCTGCCCAAACTACACCTCTGAAAGGCTCTCTCACCCTACTCACACACACACAGAGCATTTATTGGACTGGACTTTGTTCCTATTTTCTAGCAGACACTTCAGGGTAAGACATGAAACAAACGTACATCAAACTTCCCGTGTACTTTGTTTGCACTGTAGGATGTTGTACAAACAAGCAAGTTGTGTTTGTGAGTTTAAAAACAGGTGGTTATTCTTTAATCGGAAAGTTACTCATTAAGTGTTTTTTTTAATCTTTTACAAATGCAAGTATAAATTTAGCACCTGTGTTTTGGTGAAGTCCTGATCTAAACCGACAGTTGTTTAAAATATGACATTTACATAAATTTCTGAATGATTTCTTAATATTTTCATGAATGTTTGTTCTCATAATTAGTGATTTGTCTTTATGCTGCATGTCCAGTACATATCAAACATGACCCTTTATTTATGTTCTATTCTTACTCAGGAAGCCTTTGAATATTTCATGCAAAGCTAAGAAGCTTTCTACACAAGCTCAACCGCTACCCATCCTGGTGCTCTTTCACTGCACTGAATACTGCAGAAAGTCTCACGAGACTTTCATGTACGTCTCAGCACAACATTGCATGTTCTTTAAATTATGATAATTTGTAACATGTTAGCAAAAAGCGTAAAATCTGAATCTGTCAAAATGCTTCAGCTTTGGGGAGTAGAGGGTTGTGTCTGCTCTCAAAGCTCCAGGTACATGCAGAGGAATCCTTTCATGTCACAGCAGCGGGACCTACTTTTTAATTCATTCTGCGGGGATTGGGCCCCTTAAACCGTTAATCTATGCAGCGTTTTTAAGGCTTTAAATAACTAAATAACTTTAGTGTGTAGAGCTCTCAGGCTGCCCCCCTCCCCGTTTCTTTTCACTGATTCTTTTACTTTTGTGAGCAAGCTGAGAATTCTCACATGCGTAGCCTCATAATGCTCACTAACATAAGATGAACTTGTGAAATGCTTCGCCCACCAACGCTTATCTAACCCCCCCCCCCCAAAAAGATACTTCCTCCTTATGCGTTGGTTCCCCATCACCATGGCCACCTTTCCGCTGTATTGGCACATTTGCCCCGTTCAGAGTTTCACCATGCTTTTATCTTAACGTGCCCATAATACCACGAGAGCAATCTGACAAAAATCCTCAAAACAATCTTGGAATTAACATAAAGACAGATTTCTGCATCTCATCTCAACCAAGTGGATGGAAACATGTATAATATATTAACAATTACATATTTAGCATAGCATATGTTTCATCAGCATGCATTAAATATGTACTATTGACATGTTTCGCTGCATGTTTCATTAAATCACCACAACATTGACATTATTGTATGTTCTATAAACATCAAACATATGCCAGAAGAAGAGTCATTTTATAGTTTTAGATATGATACTCTAAAATGATTCCACTCTGCGGTTTCCACTCCTCCTGACTCACAAAGAGGAATTCACATTGTCGGGGACTCGATCTTCATTAGTGCAACATTTCTCTCCACTTGATGATTTTCTGCCGCTAATTCCATATCCTGCAATTCAAAGCATCCTCTGCAGATTCTATTATACAGGGCACAGACCGGCTTGTGTGCTTGTGAGTAACAACATTCCTCTGGTAGGAGAGAACACTTCTCTCTACTCAACCGTCAACTCACACAACAGCCTTCTTCTCTGGACGAGTCCATAAATCATTCATTTTCAATATTAGCCACAGTCCAAGTGTTCTTCTGGCCTAAGAGTCCAGACATGCTTTTAAAGAACGAACAGACGGATCGTAGGATAGTCGGGGTTTTGACTACAACAGGAGCTGCATGTGTGATTGCGTCTTTGTATTTGTTTTATTGTTAGTTTATTTATCAACAGGCACATCTGTATATCCTCATTTTAAGTCTTAAACCTGCAATAAAACAAAATTGACAACCAGCTTTTTGCTGAGTCCGCTGGAAATGCTGAGGAGAGGGAACCAAGACAGTGAGAAAAGGGTTTTTAAAGAATGCAAGTTTGCATTGAGTCTCGTTAGATATCCACATGTTTCTCCTGGTATTCATGAGCACATTTTGAAGGTACGAGATGAGAATGTGCTGACAACTCTTTCACAACACAGTGAGTCAAATATGGACACAGGATATCAATGCAGAGTTGAGTCTGCATGATTTTCATTGCAAAACTTCCACTTCTTGTATCGTTGAAGCATAAAGCTGGTGGGCCCTTTTCTGCAAGTGTGTGTGTGTGTGTGTGTGTGTGTAGGTAGGTATAGATGTCAGCAGGTTGTATGCGTGGCTACGTGTACTTTTGTCCCTATCACAATATCTGTATGCAGTGAAAGGTCAAAGTAATAGAACACTTAGATGTACGGTGACAGTAAGTCAAATACTGTAAGAGAAGGTTGACACACTGCAGCCATGTGTTATAGTGCAGCTCATACTTTAACGTCCCCAAACTTAAACGATGGTGCATCATTTGTGAAATATGCTTATTTTTGATAATTGATGTTTTTTTGCACTTTAAAGAATTCCAAAGTGCTGATCTTATCTTATCTAATCATCGGAAAGAACAAAAAGGAACATAACTATTCCTTCAATAGACAGAGAAATGAAATATTCAGTGTTGGCGAGGAGAATTTACACAAAATAAGCTGCTATCAACTTTTAAAAGAGGAGTAAGGAAGAAAAGAGCAGATTTGTCTGAGCGCTGATCCAGTAACTTCTGCCTTGTATTAACAAGACGTCTTGGAACAAAGCACTGCGAGGTGATTAATGAAAAACGTTGGCCAGCTGTTGTGGAGACTTCTGGGAAATCAGTGACACAGATAGAAACCTGGACTGTCATCTGAAGTGAATGTTTGGAACATTTTCTTCTACCTCTTTTATCTTATCCTTCTCTCTTATTTGTCTTACAAAACCTTTGCAGCAGGGCAGCCTTGTGTTTAGATACGCCCCTCTTCAACCAAAAGATCTATTTATTAGTCCATCATTTAACAGATCCATGTTGCTGATCATCTTTTCTGTGTAGATATACTCTTCTAGTAAGTACTTTTCATATATTGACAAGTTCAAAACCTCAAGACTTCCTATTGCAGTTCCACTACACTCACACAGTACACACACAGTACACACACAGTACACACACAGTACACACTTCCTCTCTCAGTTCTTGCATCTCCCCCTCCCTTGTTAACCCTCGTCTGTCTGGAGCACTTTTGAGTCCACGTCTCCCCCATCCTTACACGTACAGCATGCTGTTGAAGCGAGAGGCGGAGGCATGTCACACAAAACAAAAGAGGCCAAAAAGAAAAAAGAAATAAAATGGGCCACATCATGTGGAGGTACAGCACAGAAAACAAAACAACAAACCAGTGGCGGTGCCAGCTAGTGTTGCAGTGGAGGGCCCCACCGTTTGATGTGCGCGCACAGAGAACGGTGACCTAGTTCGGCAGTGACATGTTTATGGCTGATGAGCACAGGCCAGTGATTTCGCCAGCAGAGATTGAGACCTTGCTTCAGGGCCCTCTCATTTGGAGCACTTGGGCTTCAAACCACTCCGAGAGACGAGACACGATTCTCGTTTGGGTGGAACCTGAATACTCCTCCTTTCTCACCAGCCCCCTGTGTCTTCTCTTGCTCTCTCTGCGTTCATGTCTCTTTCTTTTACCTCTCTTACATTTTCAGCCATGCTAGCGTCATGACTCAAGGGATGTCTGTCTGCCTGTCTGTCTGTGTCGCGCCATCATCAGGTCAAAATGTCACCCTGTCAAACAACTTTGGTTTATGACCAAATACTTGTAAAACTAATGACAATCCCGTCAGTCTCAGCTGTACTCAGCTTTAAATCAATGTTTTTTTTTTGGTTAGATGTCTGAACTGGACTGTGTTTAACACAAGCTTAAG